GAACGGTTCCAACCCGGAACAGTCCGGATCGATCCCGGAAAATTCCAGACCGCTCCGGAAAAAAGTCCGGCTACTTTTTTCTTATTAACTTCCCGTAGGGTAAGTTATTGTAATGGGCCGAAAATCGAAATTGAAATTTTTTACATTTCTTGACGTTTTGAAGGTTTCTGAACATTTTTGCATACCTCAGAAAAAATGGATGTGTGTGTGTGTGTGTATCTATGTATGGATACAAATTTCCAGTCACGTTTTCGGGCGCACGGATCAACCGATTTGAATGGTTAAAAAAACATTCGATTCCTTTTGATAGGGAAAAGAGCTGATTAGTTTTTGGCGAAGGCAGGTCTAACCGTTACGCAGATAGGGAGCAAAGAGTGCAGAAAATAGAAATCAAGTTTTTGAGAGAACGGAGTATCCGATTTGAATGATCTAAAAAACATTCAATTAGTAATGATTGGGAGAAGTGTTTATTAGTTTTTGGCAAAGGCAAGTCCAGCCATTTCGAAGATACGGAGCTAAATGTGTAAAAAATGGCAGTTTTTGAGAGAACTAAGCGTCCGATTTAAATGATTCAAAGAACATTCTGCTTGTCTTAATAAAATAATTGATTTTGGAAAAAAAGCATTTTGTTTCAATTTTTTTTTTCAAAAAAAATTTTTTTTTGTATATCGAAAAAAATGCAGATTTTTCTTCTAACTATATATTTCTGACTATAGTTCTAATATACTTTGAACAAATAATTTCAACTTTGCAATTCAGTTTATATAATTCTTATAAATATTAGACAATCTTATTACAATATTTATAATAATCTATTTGAAAACATTCAGTATTCCTCGAACATTTCGTTACGGTACGGAAAGTTCCAGCAATTTGCCTTAAGGCACGATGCCATACTAGTTTTTACATTCAGTCACAAACATCCGTTTCAAGCTACGTGTCTCGCTTTTTGTTCTTGAATTTTTTTTGTAACCCTTTGAATTTTTTAATATAATTATAATTAATACTTTTTTGTGCATTACTATCTTCTATATATATAAAAATAAGTCGGGTTTTCCTTCCTGACGAAATAACTCCAGAACGCGCGAACCGATTTCGACAATTTTACATTCGTTGGAAAGGTCTCGGGCTCCGCAAGGTTTATAGCTAAGAAAATTTAAAAAAAAATTCAACAGAAAAGCGGAAAACATATTTTCTTTTTTTACATGCGGCGTCATCTCTAAAACTTAGCATGTACTATAAACCAAACCGCAGTCGGTAGATGGCGCCGGTAGATATATTGTTTGACATCTCAATGTTCACCGTTCAGTTAAATTCAGGTGACAAACCGGCATTGTGTTTACAGTGAAATTGTGCAAAAAAGTTAAATACGTTATTCTTTTCCGTATATCACGTGTTTTGTGCAAATTTTTGTCTTTAAAGCAGGCGTTTGTCTTTAAGGTGGTAAGTTAAACTCTGTAAATTATGTGGATAGCGCATTTGAGTTTAAATTCACCACTCTGTCCATAGTCTGAAATGCCTATAGGACGACGTGCGAACATCGGTCGCCGCACAAGACATGCAAGCCAGCAGCAAGTGTATTTACTAAACTTAAGCGAAGGCAGACAAAATATAATAAGACAAAATGCCCGGTTAAGACAACGCATCAGTACACGTAGATCATTGACATCATACAATCGCTTGGCATTCCAGTATGATCCCACTGCAAACTACAGTGATGATAAAAATTTCGATATTGGACCAATGACGACTATATGCCGATATTGCAATGCGTTAAAGTTCAAAAGAGAAACGGCTGGATTGTGCTGCGCAAGTGGAAAAGTAAAACTGGATCCATTACTTGCACCACCAGTGCCACTGAAATCATTGTTTGATGGAAGTGACCCCGATTCCAGCCATTTTCTTTAACACATCCTTCAATACAATAACTGCTTTCGCATGACTTCCTTTGGAGCTAATATCATTCAAGAAGGCGGCTTCATGCCGACTTGCAAGGTAAAAGATACAACGCACATAACCAATTACTCACACCAACACAATGAATTGCACACCACACACTACACCATCACACGATCAGAAGTTACACCGTATTCTTCAACTGATGATTGTTTGCAATTACAGATACAAGGACAAATATACCATTTGCATGGTTCAATGGTGCCAACACCAAATGAACAGCACCAATTTCTGCAAATATATTTAATTTCGTCGATGGTGGATCAGCTGAATGTGCGGTGCAATATGCAGGAAGAGTTAAAGAGACGAGTTATTGAACAGTTGCAATCATTTTTTCACGCTAATAATGCTGTGGTTAACATGTTCAAAACAGCATTGGAACAAATGCCATCAGATACGCACAAATTTATCATAAGAGCGGATTGTACCCCAAGAGGTGAACATGTGCGAAGATTCAATGCACCCACCGTTAATGATGTTGCTGCAATTATTGTTGGCGATCCAACTAAATCGCGAGACATTGTCGTTCAGCGAAGAAGCAATATCATGCATCGCGTAAACGAGACACATCGTTTGTACGACGCGTTACAATATCCAATCATTTATTGGCAAGGGCAAGACGGTTACGACATCACGTTGAAGATGGTCGATCCAATTACAGGTGCAATAATAACACACTAATTATTTTTATTATTGCTATTATTTGTTTCCATTAACAATTCATTCCATTTTGCATTTTCAGGCTTATCAACGAATAAAAATCTAAGCGCTATGAAATACTATGCATATCGTATGATGATTCGTTCACATGAGGAGAATGTCATTCTGAAGTGCCGTCGGCTATTCCAGCAATTCGCTGTCGACATGTATGTCAAAGTCGAGACCGAACGTTTAGCGTTCATTCGATTCAATCAGGCAAAGCTACGATCTGAGGACTATATACACTTGCGAGATGCTATTCATTCAGATGGTGATGTTCAGAATATTGGACGTCTCACGATTCTCCCATCATCTTATACCGGAAGTCCACGCGACATGCACGAATACGCTCAAGACGCTATGACGTACGTGCGACATTATGGAACTCCGGATTTATTTATTACGTTCACTTGCAATCCGAAGTAGACGGAAATTGAACGTGAGTTGGAAATAGGCCAAAAACCGCAAGATCGCCATGACATAATAGCCAGAGTATTTCAGCAAAAACTCAAGGTTATGATGGATGTGCTTACAAAGTATCGAGTTTTTGGTGACACACGTTGTTATATGTACTCGGTGGAATGGCAGAAGCGTGGACTACCGCATGCTCATATCCTAATTTGGTTGCTGAATAAATTACATTCAAATGAAGTGGATGACATCATATCAGCTGAAATTCCTGATCCAGTCACTGATCCCCATCTACACGATATTGTGACGACACAGATGGTGCATGGACCGTGCGGTGCATTAAATCCATTATCGCCTTGCATGGCTAATGGAAAGTGCACAAAACGATATCCGCGACCGTTAGTTGCTGATACATTCACAGGGAACGATGGATATCCAGTTTATCGTCGGCGTTCAAAAGAAGAAAATGGTCGAACTATCAAAGTTAAAGTTCAAAATCAAGAGATTGAGATCGGAAATGAATTTATTGTACCATATTGCCCGCTGCTATCTCGAATTTTCAGAACACATGCAAACGTTGAAAGTTGTCATTCGTCCAAATCAATCAAATATTTGTGCAAGTACGTCACAAAAGGCACCGACATGACTGTGTTTGGTATTGCGTCGGAAAATGCGAATGACGAAATTAGCAGCTTCCAAACTGGCAGATACGTCAGTAGTAATGAAGCACTGTGGCGATTATTGTCATTTCAAATTCATGAAAGATATCCCACAGTTATGCATTTAGCAGTGCATTTGGAAAACGGCCAAAGAGTTTACTTCACTGAGGCTAATGCGGCACAGCGAGCTGAGAGACCACCATCGACAACATTGACTAGCTTCTTTGCTATGTGTGAAGCAGATCCATTCGCAGCGACGCTGATGTACGTTGATATGCCTAAGTATTACACTTGGAATCAATCAACAAAGAATTTCCAACGCCGCAAACAAGGAACCCCAATTCCAGATTGGCCACATGTGTTTTCCACGGATGCACTTGGTCGCATATATACTGTTCATCCTAGAAGTGATGAATGTTTTTATTTGCGACTTCTGTTGGTAAATGTGCGTGGACCAAAATCATTTGTGCATTTGAAAACTGTGAATGGCCACCGATGTCAAACATATCGAGAAGCATGTCAACTATTGGGTTTGCTGGAGAACGATTCTCATTGGGATCTAACACTTGCGGATTCAGTTGTTTCATCAAATGCGTACCAAATACGAACGCTGTTCGCAATTATCATCACCACATGCTTTCCTTCACAACCAATACAATTATGGAACAAATACAAAGACGACATATGTGAAGATATCTTGCATCGCTTGCGCATTCAAACTAACAATCCTGATATCCAAATAACCGATGAAATCTACAATGAAGGATTGATTCTGATTGAGGATCAATGCTTGACTATTGCAAACAAGCTACTAATTGAAGTAGGAATGATTGCGCCAAATCGATCGATGCACGATGCATTCAACCAAGAATTAAATCGAGAGCTGCAATACAATGTTGATACATTGCAAGAATTCGTTCGAATTAATGTGCCGTTGCTGAATGAACAGCAAAAACAAGTATACGAAACATTAATGCAAGCGGTGGCCAATAATACTGGTGGTCTATTCTTCCTGGACGCACCTGGAGGAACAGGGAAAACATTTGTCATTTCATTGATTTTAGCCACTATTCGATCAAGATGTGACATAGCTTTAGCGTTAGCATCATCGGGAATTGCAGCGACTCTTCTAGATGGAGGTCGTACTGCACATTCTGCACTTAAGTTGCCACTCAATTTAAACACAATTGATACTCCAACATGCAATATTTCCGATCCAGTGCAATGGGAAAATTGTTGACGCAATGCAAGCTCATTGTTTGGGATGAGTGCACAATGGCGCACAAGAAATCACTTGAAGCACTTAACTTTACACTAAAAGATCTTCGGCGAAATAACAACATCTTTGGCGGCTTGATGATATTGTTGGCAGGCGATTTCAGGCAGACGTTGCCAGTAATTCCCCGTGGAACGCCTACAGATGAATTGAATGCTTGCCTGAAAGCATCACCGTTATGGAATAACGTAAAAACATTATCGCTAACCACTAATATGAGAGTTCAACTTCAAAATGATCAAAGTGCTGCACAATTTTCCAAACAATTGTTAGCTGTTGGAAATGGGAAAGTCCCAGTTGATGCGACATCTGGATTAATTACTCTTACCAATGACTTTTGCCGATTTGTAGACTCTCAATTAGAACTTATTGAAAATGTTTTCCCAGACATTAGCGAAAATTATCAGAATTATGCTTGGTTAAGTCAACGAGCAATTCTTGCCGCAAAAAATAATGATGTGCACGCATTGAATTTCGTCATTCAGTCAAAAATTGCTGGCGATTTGGTGACATACAAATCCATTGATTCCATAACAAATCCCGATGAAGTAGTAAATTATCCTACGGAGTTTTTGAACTCTCTGGAGTTACCAGGATTTCCACCACATAACTTGAAACTCAAAGTTGGCACTGTTATAATGACATTGCGTAATTTGAATCCACCGCAACTTTGCAACGGTACTCGACTTTCAGTAAGAAGACTTATGCCGAATTTGATTGAGGCAACCATTATTAACGGAAAGTACGCAGCTGAAAATGTATATATTCCTCGAATACCAATGATTCCGACTGGTCTTCCGTTTGACTTCAAACGATTACAATTTCCAGTTCGCCTTGCGTTTGCAATGTCAATTAACAAGTCGCAAGGTCAATCGCTTAGTGTTTGCGGTATAAATTTAGAAAATCATTGTTTTTCGCATGGCCAGTTGTACGTTGCCTGTTCACGAGTTGGGAAACCATCCGCTTTGTTTGTGTTAGGCCAAAAAACAAAAAATGTTGTTTACCAAAAGGCTCTTCAATAAAACATATAATTTGCAGATTCACTTTCTTTTACTTAGAGAACTTTAACTCATTTTTGTAATCAAAATAAATTCGTTACTGTTGTACAATAAAATCAAATTTTTCCTTTTCAAATATAAAACAAACAAAAAATTTCTTCATCTTTCTCACGAAACCATCTGGTGGCGAAACGGAGTTTGTCGGGTTTGCTAGTTTAGTTATATATTTGTTTGCCATGAATGCAATTCTCAAATTGGAAATTGTACATTAAAATAATATTTAGTCTGCTTTCATTATTAGGTTATATGTAATTTTCATAAACTTTTAAATAAATAATTATAAACTTTTTCATAAACCAATAAATTTGAAGTGTATTTTTAGTTTCTTTAGTTTTTATTTTCTCAATTAAAGTTTTCGATATCCATAGAAAGAGGCGGTTTCTTTTGATCAGGAGAATTTACAAAACTGGCTGCATATAGTATTAAAAAAATAACATATTATTAAAAGTATTACAACAAAACGCCTTAGTTTAATTGAAATAAATAGTTTACTTCATAAAAAGTAATTTAATTTCTAAATTGTTAACTTCATATAAATATAAAAATTTCATACTATGCCTACCTTATTTTTATACCTAAGCTCTTCCCATTATGTAATTCGACTCTTGCAGTCAGAGAGCAAGTGGACCTTATGATCATAATATTAGTAAATGTACTAATAAATATATATATATCTGAAGATTTCAAAGCAGAAGCGTACTTTTAGAGCCTGGCGATTGTACATCGACTCATAAATCGTAAAACAACAAATTTCAAAAATTCCTTCGGGTTTGCTAATTAATTTTAAAATATTGTATATTTTAAAATAGTGTTTCATAAATAAATAACAAATATATAAAATAATATTTATTAGAAACATAAACTAATATATGTTACATAAACTGATTTTTTTTAAGTGACAATTTTAAAAGTAGAAGTGTTTTTATTAACTTCTATATCGTTTGAAATGTTGTTGAGATGGATAAATATTTAGTTTCAGAAATGATAATTTAGACGGATTACGAAATGCGGCTCTTGTAGTCGGGTGTAGTCTATTTAAAATAGTTGGAGGTCTTTCTGATAACAAGTGTCAAAGTATGATTTGGAGAAGTCATTAAAATCAATATTAATGGGCTAAAGACTGATGGCTCGCAATGAAAAGATTCAGGCTAATACATATAACAATGTTTAATTTTTTATATTGTGTCGCAACACGTCTCCTTTCCCTAGCTATAAACAACTAGTTGGTTTGGTATTTAGCCTTGAGGCAAATTACATGAACTTCCCGAAATGTGTAAATAATCGACTTGATCAAAAAAATGTGTAAATAATATACTTCATCAATCCTACTTAAAAAAAAAAACGATAATAATTTTAGCAAAGTTTGACGAATTTTTAAAATTAAACTACTTGTCGTAATGCCGTAATATTACAGTAAGTTCTGTAAGACCATGATGTATATCGCCAAAAAAAGTTCCATGAAAAACGGCTTAATTTTTTTTTAACAGTTAATTACAAGAAAACGGCTCGGTAGATTTTCACCTAAAATTAATCAGTACCATTCCCATCTAATATCTTTCGAACAGATTTTGATTTTTCAAAATCGGTTCGGTAGGATGAGCTTAAATGTGGACGAAAATTTAACACTTTTTTTCAACATTTAATTACAAGAAAACGGCTCGGTAGATTTTCACCTAAAATTAATCAGCATCATTCCCAAATGATATCTTTCGAACAGTTTTTGATTTTTCAAAATCGGTTCGGTAGGATGAGCTTAAATGTGGACGAAAATTTAACACTTTTTTTCAACAGTTAATTACAAGAAAACGGTTCGGTAGATTTTCACCTAAAATTAATCAGCATCATTCCCAAATGATATCTTTCGAACAGTTTTTGATTTTTCAAAATCGGTTCGGTAGGATGAGCTTAAATGTGGACGAAAATTTAACACTTTTTTTCAACATTTAATTACAAGAAAACGGCTCGGTAGATTTTCACCTAAAATTAATCAGCATCATTCCCAAATGATATCTTTCGAACAGTTTTTGATTTTTTAAAATCGGTTCGGTAGGATGAGCTTAAATGTGGACGAAAATTTAACACTTTTTTTCAACAGTTAATTACAAGAAAACGGCTCGGTAGATTTTCACCTAAAATTAATCAGCATCATTCCCAAATGATATCTTTCGAACAGTTTTTGATTTTTTGAAATCGGTTCGGTAGGATGAGTATAAATGTGGACGAAAATTTAACACTTTTTTTCAACAGTTAATTACAAGAAAACGGCTCGGTAGATTTTCACCTAAAATTAATCAGCATCATTCCCAACTAATATCTTTCGAACAGTTTTTGATTTTTTAAAATCGGTTCGGTAGGATGAGCTTAAATGTGGACGAAAAGTTCAACACTTTTTTCAAATTACGAAGAAACGGCTTGGCAGATCGTTGCACAAAACTGACAAACGATAGTCCTCACCGAAATACATCAAATGGCTTTTAAATTTCTAAAATCGGTTCAGGCGTTTTTGAGAAAACGTCGATCAAAAGTCTAATTTTGACAAATGCCAAAAAGACCATACTGATTTTTGCAAACTTTGACGAATTTTTAAAGCTGAACCAGTTGTCGTAGGGCCGTAATATTTTAGTATGACCTAGAAAACTATGGTATCTTTCGTCAAAAAAATAATCATAAAAATCGTCAAAATGTTTTTTTTAAAAACTTTATTACAAGAAAACGGCCCGGCCGATCTATACCAAAAACTAATCAGCACGATTCCCAACCAATATCTATCGAACGGTTTTTGAATTTTCAGAATCGATTCAGAATTGCGGGCTAAAACGTGGACGAAAAATTTTTCACTTTTCTGCAATTTACAAAGAAACGGCTCGGCCGATCGACGCACAAAACTCAGAGACGATAGTCCTCATCGAGATACATCAAATGGCTTTTAAATGTTTGAAATCGGTCCAACCGTTTTGGAGAAAACGTCGATTTACGGCAAAAAATCTGTTCACACACACACACACACACACATACACACACACATACTTTTTCCAAATTTGGTCTCATTCGATTCAGAATGGCTCGAAACGTCGAGAAAACATAAAATTAGCGATTCGGATTTTTTGATGAAAACATAAACTTCTCCTTCGGGAAGTTAAAAAAGTTCTTCGCATTTGGTCTGTTTATCTGTGTTTGCGAATGCTTTAAAGGGACATAAGCGATGAACAGCGGCAGTTTATCCCTTATTCTGTCCCTTTCAAGCATTCGCAGAAGTTCGGATTTCTCTTTCTGCTCAAATAAAAAACTGTTGTGTACAATTGTACATAAATTAAGTGTACATATTCGGTAACGATTTATTAAACAAAATTAATAAATTTATAAATTCTTAAAGCTGAATATTGAACTGAAATGTACTTAATTTATAATTCATTATTATTATTGGTAAAAAATCGTTGTAGATTTAATTAAAATAGTAAATAAAAATATTTTAACGGTTGATTACGAAAAAAATACCCGTTCCATGTACTAAACAGTACATCCCCAAATTTTTCGAATAGTAATATTCAAAATCGATTTAAATTTTTTTAAGAAAAGGTTTTGAATGAACAACAGCTCAGTTTGTGAGAAAGTGAAAGGTAAACTAGTAGTGTTTGGCATCGTGCCTTGAAGCAAATTGCTGGAACTTCCCGTACCTAAAATATTTTTTTTAAAAAAAGATTTTTTTTTAACTTTGAAAAACAGGCAAATGTGGTCTTTAACAATACAGAACGACTTATTAGCATAATATTATCCAGTCAGATTTTCTGGCTAAAACAAAGTACTCCTTCGCAAAAGTTATAATAGGTTTAACTTCTTAATTCGAATAAGTTAATCAATTTTGAATCGAAATTAGGCTTTGAAATGGAAATAAATAATGTCTTGAGTTCCTATATTTGAATATTTGAAATGTTGAGTTAAAATTAATAAGAATTAGAAATAATAATATAGGATATAAAAATAAAACGTTGTAGGTGACAAAAAAAATTAAAACTAGTGGGGTGTATGGCATCGTGCCAGAAGGCAAATTGCTGGAACTTTCCGTACTGTAACGAAATGATCGAGGAATATTAAATGTTTTAAAATAGATTATTATAAATATTATAACATTGTCTATTTATATTTATAAGAATTATATAAACTAAATTGGGAAGTTGAAATTATTTGTTTAAATTATATTAGAACAGAAATAAAATAAAAGCCTGAATTATTATAATATACAAAAAAAATTTTTTGGAAAAAAAAAAAATTAAAAAAAAAATTTTGAAGCAAAAATTTTTTTCCAAAATTAATTATTTTGTTAGAACAAGCAGAAAGTTTTTGGAATCATTCAAATCGGTCGCTCAGTTCTCTTAAAAACTGCCATTTTTTGCACATTTAGCTCTGCCTTTGCCAAAAACGAACCACCCCTTCTCCCCGTCATTATGAATTGAATGCATTCAAATCGGACGCTCCGATCTCTCAAAACCTTGATTTCTATTTTCTGCACTCTTTGCTCCGTATCTCCTAATCGGTTGGACCTGCCTTTGTTAAAAACTAATCAGCACATCTTCCTATCAATAGGAATCGAATGTTTTTTGAACCATTCAAATAGGTTGATCCGTGCGCTCGAAAACGTGGACAGAAAATTGTATCCCTACATACATACACACTCACACACACACACACACATCCTTTTTTTTCTGAGGTATGCCAAAATGTTCAGAAACCTTCAAAACGTCGAGAAATGTAAAAATTTTCTATTTAGATTTTCGGCCCATTACAATAATTTACCCTAAGGGAAGTTAAAAAAAAAAATGGAACCGTCGGCGGTTCCCAAAATTTGAGAACCGGTTCCAGAACCGCAACCTTGACTAACTTGTTTTTTTGTTTTTGTTGAACAGAGCATAGCATAATATTTATGAAATATAATAAATTTTGCACGCAAAAACTAGTTTATGCGTACAATCCCGAGGCAGTTGTGTCACATGTGCTTAAAAATTATTTGGAGAGACCGAAGTATAGTTGTCGAGTTTTTTTTACAATCAGTGTTTTGAAGTATGGGTGAAGAGGCTAAGATTCATAGTTCGGGATCGTACCGCGTAAGGATAGGTTCACAGGTTCGGAATTAAGCCAGTTAAGAGGAAACAAATTTGGAAATATTATTGAGTATAACCTGATAATTTTCACAGAGTAAAAAGGCATCACACCTTTTATTAATGCAAGATTTAGTAATGCTGATTAGACAAGATTCAGCAAACCTTCTCTGAATAATGTTCCGTTCGTGATAAAGTATACTAACGTTATAAAAGTTAAAAGAATGTTTAAAAATTTTTATATGTGTTGTTATCATGGTTTGATTTTGTCGTGGGTTTTTTTAGTTATTATCATGTTGTTTTAGTCGTTTCATTAAATTCTGTCCAGTTTCACCTATGTAAATGGAATCACAACCATTGCATTTTAATTTATAGACAATATTTGATGTGCGTTCTAAACTAGTGGATGATTTGAGATTCGAAAAAAGAGAGCTGAGGGTTGAGTCTATGTTACAAATTAATCTTAAGTCGACCTTGTGGAACAGTTTTTTCCAAATGGGAAATAGTTCTTTAATAAACGGGAACAAACATTACCAATAATGTCATTGTCTTTGGAGATTTTGGTAGAAGAAGAAGAATAATTAATGTTATTATTGAGAAATTTGAGTCTATTGTTCGTGACAGAGTTTATGAGATTAGAAGAATAAGAGTTATTGATAAGTGTTGTGTGTATTAACGATAAATTAGCAGACCAAAATTGTTTGTCAGAGAGAAGTATGGCGTGGTCAACTAAATTAATTATAGTACCTATTTTCATGCTAGATAGGTGATAAGAATGGAAATTAAAATATCTGCCCGACCAAGTAGGTTTTTGGTACCAATTTGTGATGATACGGTTATCTAAGGTTTTTATAATTTTGACGTCAAGAAAGCTGATAGAATTGTTTTGTTCTTTTTCGAAAGTGAAGGAGAGATGTTTATTGAAAGAGTTGAAATTGTGGAGTAAAAGTTCAAAGTTTTTAACCGGCACACAACTAAAAATGTCATGTCATTAATTTTCAGTGTATCTCATTAAAAAAATGAGAATTTTCAGTATTGTTTTTTTGTTATTAAACGATTTTTTTACAAAAATATTAACACGTCATCATTATACAATGTTTTGACTTGAAGTAACAAAAATTTCAGAAAAAAAAATTAATATTCCCAAAGTTATAGCTGTTTTTGTTGACCCTGTTTCAAAAAACGGTCCTAGCGGTGACCATCATAACTCCTTAGAGATTCATCTAAAATCAATCAAATAAAAAAAATAGTTTTATAAATAGTGAATCCTGGGCTTGATCGCAATAATTAACAAAATGGCAGCATCAAAAATAAAATTTCTTAAAAAGAGTTACGTAACTCTGTCTCCAAACTAACAAGATGTGTTTTTGTAATAAGCTTTTTTACAATAAAACATATTATTTATTTTAGTTTTTACAATTTTCAAAAAAATTTCATAACTTGATGTTTTTTCAATTTATTTCATACTTATTTTTTCGTTGCATTTTTGTGTTGTTCTTTGTGTTATATTTTTTTTAAATTTATTTGTATGCACTGAAGATGGGTCAAATCTGGACCCGAAACGTATGTTCTCTTAATTAAAACATTTCGCATTAAAACTGTTTTTTTAATTATTGGATGGATGCCCAAGAAACAATTTTTATCATATTATTTCACCATCTGAAGAAAAACCTCTCGCTTTATATATATATATATATATGTAGCGGGTTGCCAACACGCATCGCGGCTTGTCAACACGCATCACATGTTACTGGACAGATTGGCCCATATATTGACAGCACAGAAAAAAAAAAAAATAAATTCAAGTGTCAGATCGGACACGGCTTTTGTTTCTCCCTAGTCGAGTTTGCCTAAAATGTATGATTCTTAAAACCTTTCTTTTCAATTATAAATACGAAAATACCAATAACATTTTATTAACGATTAGTATGACAACACATAGTGTCGTGGATATTAATCATATATAAAATAAACGAAATATAAATAATATTTTATGGAATTTATTATGACTATAATTTGGACAATTCCGGTATTTCTACAATATGGAGCACGCCTCCATATTTTGGTGACCCCGAGAGTGAACAAGTAACACACATTTCGCAAGAAGGTAAGAAGATCAAGTCATTTTTAGAAGTAACAAAATAAATTGAAGTCTCAAGAATAATCAAGAAAAGAATTTTTAAAAATATAAATAATTATTTTAAATGGCTCACAACTGCCATAACTCGCATTCTAAGCATACAATTGAGACTCCGACCACGAGAGAGCACTTCAAGATAAACAACAACACGTGCTCAATAAATCACTTATTATCCTGGTAAATAAGTCGATTATAAGCACCATGGCAACAGACAGGGAACATCAAACCAATTTGGCAACCGCCATATATAATCAACCGCTAACTCACCAGCGAAGGGCCACATACACTCAACCGCTAACTCACCAGCGAAGGGCCACATACAATCAACCGCTAACTCACCAGCGAAGGGCCACATACAATCAACCGCTAACTCACCAGCGAAGGGCCACATACAATCAACGGCTAACTCACCAGCGAAGGGCCACATACACTCAACCGCTAACTCACCAGCGAAGTGTCAAATATACTCAGCCGCTAACTCACCAGCGAAGGGCCACATCTACTCAACCGCTAACTCACCAGCGAAGGGCCACGTAAGCAATCAACAAACTCAACAAGCCAACACGGCATTCAAAACGGCCACGGCCACAAACAAATAAAATTTATCACACAATCTCAACCAAAAGAAATTTACAAGGAAGTTCAAGAATGGCAGTCAGAGATGCGAAACAATCTTTTTCATTAGGGCGGAGTGATGTAGCGGGTTGCCAACACGCATCGTGGCTTGTCAACACGCATCACATGTTACTGGACAGATTGGCCCATATAGGGACAGCACTGAGAAAAACAAAAGGAAATTCAAGTGTCAGATCGGACACGGTTTTTGTTTATCCCTGAGTAGTTTTTGCCAAAAAAATGTATAATTCTTGAAACCTTTCTTTTCTATTATAAATAAGAAAATACCAATAACGTTTTATTAATGATCAGTATGACAACACATAGTGTCGTGGATATTAATCATATATAAAATAAACGAAATATAAATAATATTTTATGAAATTTATTATGACTACAATTGGTATTAATATGGACCAAGCCTCCATATATATATATATATATATTCATATATATATATATATATATATATATATATATATATATATATATTCATATATATATATATATATATATATATATATAAACTTGTGATAGCCGACGTCGAAAAACCCATTATTGGAATAGATTTCTTATCATTTTATAACCTGTTGGGAGATCTGCGCAACAGATGACTCCTAGTGAGAGATACAAACGCACAAATGATGAGAAAAGTAACGGATGCAGTTATCCCAACTGTTAAAACCTTGCGAAAGGAGCATCACAGCTTATTGCAAGAATTTCCGGATATTACCAGACCTCAAGGAGCACCTCACAAAGTGAAGCATTCAACAAAACACCATATCAATACAACACTAGGGCCTCCGATTTATTTTAAACCAAGACGGCTCAACGCGGAAGGCCTTCAAATAGCTAAAACAGAATTTGAAGAAATGGTGAAGCTCGGAATCGCTCGACGATTAAACAGCCCCTGGGCCGCACCGCTTCACATGGTACCTAAACGAAACCTCGGATGGCGCCTGTGCGGAGATTACAGAGCACTCAACGCTCGTACTATTCCAGACAGATACCCGGTAAAGCACATTTACGATTTTACGCAGCATCTACAAGGCATGGAAGTTTTTTCAAAAATCGACTTGGTGAAGGCTTACAACCAAATCCCGGTCAACGAGGAGGATATACCAAAAACAGCAATTACAACTCCTTTCGGACTTTTTGAATTTCCTTATATGACCTTCGGACCTCGTAATGCAGACCAAACCTTTCAAAGGTTTATCGACGAAGTCACACAAGGCATGGATTTTTGCTATGCTTATATCGACGATTTGCTAATTGCATCAAGAAACCAGGAAAAGCATGCAAGGCATCTACGAAGCATTTTCGAGAGACTTCAGCAGTATGGTATCATAATCAATTGTGACAAATGCATATTTTGTGTATAGGAAATTGTTTTTTGGGATACACAGTCTCCTAAGATGGTATACTCCCAATTAAGGAACGCGTGGAAGCTCTTGTAAGAATCAAACCTCGTACTACCATACGATTATTTCCGCAGATGCTTTTCCCGTGCGGCTAAATTGCAAGCTCCATTTCAAAAACTGTTAGATGGACCAAACGTTAAAAATAACACTATCATAGAATGGAACGAGCAACTACAGCAGACTTTTGTTAATTGCAAAGAAAGCCTATAAAATGCTACTCTTTCACATCACCCAGTGCTCAACGGCAAATTAGATTTGTTTACAGACGCTAGTACAATTTCAATAGGAGCATCGCTGCAACGTCAATTAAGGAAAACATGGCAACCACTAGCCTTCTTCTCGAAAAAAAATTCTAAACGCCAATGCGAGTGGCCAACATACTACCGAGAACTTATAGCAATCTTCGAAGTTATCCGACAATTTGTCACTTTCTCGATGGACAACACTTCGTAGTATACAGAGACCATAAACCTCTAACATTTGTCTTCCAACAGAAACAGGACAAATTGCCGCCAGTTCAATTGAATCAACTTTCATAGCACAATTTATAACAGAAATAAAGTACATTAAAGGAAGAGAAACTGATGCTTCATCCCGGATCGAAGAATTACGTGTATCGTCGAATGCAGATTATAACACAATCGCAAAGGAACAACAAGATGACGCGGTATTGCAAAGCTGCCTAAAGAACAGTTCCTCATTGGTCCTGAAGTCAGTACGTCGTCTTCAGGGTACCATCAACGTATGTTGCGATGTATCCACTAATATTCCAAGACCTTTCGTTCCGAAAACGTTAAGGAAACAAGTTTTTAGCGCAATTCACAACTTAAGCCATCGTGAAAGAAATTCCATAGTAAAAATGGTATCCCAATGATTTGTTTGGTCGTCAGTGAACAAGGACTGTCGAGTCTGGACGAAGGAGTGCATTCCTTGTCATTGCAACAAAATTCATCGCCACACGCGAGCACCGCTCGGTGAATTTTTGCTACCTACCCGAC